CTTCCTTGAGAGGTATGATCTGGCCACAATTTGATGACATCCAGGTTAGACTACTGTAGAAAATGTGTCTGCCTTTGGAGACCATCTTGAAGCTGCAACAGGTACAAAAACACTGATGTGAGATTTGGTTAGACACCATAAAAGTCGACACCAGCCTGAGCATGGAACGGACACCAGCAACAGTACAAGATCGGAAAACGTGGAGAGAGTTGGCCCATAGAATCACCAAGAGTCGGACATGACTGAATGGATAACAACAGCAACAACAAGCATTACATCTCACCAATTTTAAGAGTACTATAATGGCTGTCTATCAAATTCTGGGCTCAATCTGAAGAACTGCATCTCTCTCGAGAGCTCTAAATGGCCTGACAGGGGGATTAAAGGACCTTTTCTTCCTCACCAATGTTTCTGCCAACTGAGATCATATCTGAGAGCCCTGCTGTGTGGGCCTCTCACTGACCGCAAGGGACAGGGCCCTTTTAATGGTGACTCCTTGACACCAAAATATCCTGTCTGCAAATATTTGCCTGATTGAGAGTCTGTTGGAGTTTTGGCACCAGGAAAATGGATTCCTATTTGCTCAAATGTGTTGTTCCCAAGCACCAATGAAAACAGGGTCCTTTTACATTAACACTGTCTAATTTTAATGCTGTTAACTGGCCTTTTTATTTATTGCTGCTTTTAACTGTATTTATTGTTGTTTTAATGCTTTGTGGATTATTTTACTCAGCCTATTTTATATAACTAGGTTATTCTTAATAGGCCTGCTGTTTTGTTTTGTTTTTAATTGCTGCTGGTTTTATATATATATTGTTATACAGTGCTTGGATTTTTTAAAAAATATATATTATTGTGGTGGGTAACGGTCCCTTGGTAAACCACCGTAAGAATTGTTGATTGAGAAAGTGTGATAAAAATATTTTCATTGAACAAATAAATATTTTAACTATCCTGATGTTGCAGCCATAAGAATTCTCTGTATGTCTGTGTCTGTCATCTTAGTTCTTAAAAGCTTCCCTACCTTACAGGGTGGTTGTGAGGGTTAATCATTTATGTGAAATGATTTGAGTACAGTTGCTTTTATGCCGTCTGTTTGTTTTGGAGGTGTTGACAGCTTCCAGGTTGTTTTAGTTACATTGAGTAAATATGCTCAAAACCTGTAAATTGAGTTTTAAAAAATAGCATTCCTCTCTTTCTTAGGGTGCGTTTATAAAACATTGTTTTGAATGCTGTCCTTGACCTGGGTAGCCCAGGCTAGCCCAGTCTTGCCAGATCTCAGAAGCTAAGCAGGGTCAGCCCCTGGTCAGCATTTAGTTGGGAAACCACCGAGGAATACCAGGACCATGATGAGGAGGCAGGGGCTGTGGTCACACACACTAAATAATCCACTTCCAGTGCACTTCCCAACTGGATTTTACTCTGTGGACTGGAAAAATCCAGTTGGAAAGTGGATTGAAACTGGATTATTTAGTGTGTGTGACTGCAGCCAGGTGTCTTGCCTTGAAAACCCATACGTTGGCTGCAACTGGACAGCAAAAAGAGAAAAAGAATTCAATTATCTCTCAACTCAGATCCAAAGAACTAGTTCTGTGATCCCAAAGATCCCAACTATCCTGAGGTTATGGGCATAGGCAGGGCTATTTTTGGAACGCACAGGAACGGAGTTCTGGCTGGCTCCTGAGTTGGCCACGCCCAGCAGGAACTCATTAGCATAATAGGCCACACCCAACAGCAGAAACTCGTTAGGATTGGCTACATTAGGGTTGTGTGGCCTAACATGCAAAGGAGTTCCTGCTACAAAAAAAGGCCCTGGGTTTTGACAACAAACAAGGTAAACAGAATAAGAAGGGAAAGGTGGGTGTGGCTGGATGACCATACTTCTGGTAACATGGGGGTGTGGCCTAATGTGCTAATGAGCAGTGCTGTCAGGGTGTGGCCTAATAGGCTAATGAGTTCCTGCTGTTGGGTGTGGCCTATTATGCTAATGAGTTCCTGCTGGGCTTATTCTACAAAAAGAGCCCTGCATACACGCACATTGGCTTGATTTTTCTCAGGCAGCATTCCCCCACTGGGCCAGCTGCTTCTAAAAGACCATGACGTTTCAGAGCAACGTTA